GTGGGGAAACAGTCTGTGTTGCATCTGAGTGGATACCTCCAAGTCCATTTGGTGTGAGCCTTTACTTACATTTCCCATTTGTTGGCAATAATAATGAACAATGAAGATACGTTTGGAAGAAATTTCTTGAATAACCACAACCCAATCAAACTTAAAATATATCCTTCTTGACACAAATTTCTTTAGCCTGCTTGAGTTGCTGTTTACGTTCAATTTTGCAACATCCATTTAAAATACTTATGGGGATGATATTACAGAGAACACCCAAGTGACTAATCAAAAGTTATTTGCTTAACAGAGATGATCTTCTAACAAAAGTATATCCGATTTGCTCACTGTGTGCCTTCTGACAGGAGGTTGCCTAATAAGGGTGGATTAATAATACAATGAGGCATATACATCATCACATGCATAATCAATATTTGGATGTGACATAAAAAGTAACTAATGAGTCCCAGTTCCCATACTGTTGCAATACCAGGCATCCTGCCCAAATCGAAAATCAGTTAACTCTTCCTCCAATCCCCTACATTGCTCTCCACAGTATAAGCCACTGACCTTCTTATCCACCTCCTTACTTCTAGCCCCCTTTTCCTTATTCCCTCTATTCCTCAGTATCTAACAATAACAATTCCCTATATAGACTAATGAATGCTTCTGCTTCTGGGTTGACAAAAATATGAATAATTTTCCAGCCACAGTTCAGCAGTCAAGTTGGAAGTGGCCTTAGGAAGTGGCCTTATCATAGCTACAATCCTGAAAATGTTAGAAGAATCACTCCTCCTAGCTGCATCTGCACAAGTGGCAGACTGCCTGTGCAGTAATTGGCATTACTGCACAGTACCATCCCCACAGGTTTCTTTCAGACACTACTGTGCAGTAGCTCACTACTACTGAGCAGTAGTAGCAGCGAGTCATGGTTAGGGCCCACCAAGGCTACTGCACAGTAGCAACAAGCTACTGCACAGTAGCATCGGGTGTAGATGCATCCCCTTTCTACCCAACTCCTCTCAGCTGTGCTTCTTAAGTGGCATAAAGGGCTTACTGCTGAGGGGGAGAAGCAAAAAAACAAGGTAGCTCCTTGAAGACAAAGGGGTATGGCTGCTTCTGCACCTGGTAGGTCTTCCACAGGATTGTTCCTGAGGGTTGCACATGGGGCAGCAGGCTCTAAATACATGCATTTAAAAGGAACCAATCATTGATTAAGTTGCTGCTTCAGTATAGGCAGTCCTCAGACTTATGACACAATTGGTTCCTGAAAACTGCGTCTTAAATCGAAACATTGTAACTCAGAACCAATTTTCCCATAGGAAACAATGTTATAAATAGGGAATTGGTTGCTGAACCAAGGGCCAATACCCTATTTTCACCAAAAATAACCCAGAATTTTGTACTCAATCAATTATAGAAGAAGAATATAACTACATTAATGTATTTCTATTATAAATAGCAATCATATTGATTTGGAAGGACTTGTTTGAGGTGACTTTGCTGGACTTTTTGAAGGGCTCTTGGTTGGACTTTTTGAAAGTTCTTGAATGAAGTCTTTCAGGAGGCTTGGCTGAGGTTTGTCTACTTTCTTTAAAAAATGTCCATGGAAGTTTGGACAGATGTTCTCCAGGGAGATGGGCAGTGAACTTGTTCACTGGTGTGGATCAAGCATTGTAAAGTCAAAACTGACGTCAGAAAATTGAAACAGGGTGTCAATTTATAAACGTTGTAAATGTGAAACGTTGTAACTCGAAATGTTGTAAGTTGAGGACTGCCTGTACTGAGAGACTGGAACTTTTTTTCTTTCATACTTATAAATGTTGGCAGAAGAGTCAAATTTTCAACCTGTCACTTAGGAACAGTTACAAAAATATGCTTTGCAGCTGCACACAGAATTTATGCATGTAGTCACTCCAACCTGCTACGACAAGTGGCACATTAGCGGGTGCAAGCACCCCTCTATTATCTAGTTGTGACTTGGTCGCATAACAGATGGGATGACCAGAGCACCTGCCCTGGGTACCACCTCTGGAAAAGTGGCACAAAAATTGATGCTGCTGAAACTGGGGACCAGTCACAGCACCACTGCCAGCACATGCCAACCAGTGTTGCCCTGTGTGGAGTCACTACCCAAGGTACACAGTTACTCTATTACACCTCTGCGGTAATTGATTCACATAAATAAAACAACTGCATATGTGGGGTCAACAAGCAGTGGCACATGCATTTTTGCCTGCGTCCCAAGTTCAAGACCATTTTAAATTCTTACATGAATGTTATTTACGTTGATTATCACACACCTCAAGTTCAACATCTACATCTCACATTGCATCTTTGTAGCTTTGCACAAATACAGGGACAGATTTCTATTAGACAGTTACAGCAAAATACAACTAAACGACATTTTTAAAAGTACTCCAAGCATGGGCGGGGGCACTTTAATTAGAGCAGCTCCAATAGCCGCTCTAATTAAAGCACCACGGCGTCTATTATATCAGCATCCCTCCGCTTAAAAATGGCAGCAGGGGTGCTTTAACTAAAGCTCGTCAAACAAGCTATATTTCAAGCACCCCCAATGCCATTTTGAAGCACAGGGACACTGATATGTAGGACAAGGAGGCTGGCTGGAGTACACTAATTAGCATGCTACAGCAGACTCGATTAATTGAGTCTGCTCTGATACACTGTAATTACAGTGCATCAGAGCAGCCTCCTAGCACATCTACAGGCACCCAAAGAGATTACGCCTTCAAGCTACACCATCCTGGTTATTTTTCTTTGGAAACAAGAATGTATATGTAAAATAAGATATTGGAAAAAAACTAGAGTGGGAGTTAGACAATCAAGTTTAAAGCAAATGGATTTACCTCAAACCTTAAGTCACAGAATAATGTTCTGTTAAAGATACCTAATTGAGAGAAACCTCAGGGAAAGCCTTACCAACAGGAAAAAAAAAGGAACACTATTTCAAACATCTCAGAGGAAACAATTATATTAGATAACAACTTAAAAGCATTTATTTCTTTTCACTAGGGCTATCTTTTTAGCTGGTTATGAATAGATACCTGAAATAGCTTTGGTAGTGTTGGGGTGATGTTGTAGCTGTGATGGTTCAGGAAATTTGCAAGAGAAAGGTATTTTGGGGGAAAATACTTTTATTGGACCAACTGCATGGTTGTAAGACTTTTCAGACATACTTTTGAGCACAAAATACTTGAAAGCTTGTCTAAAATATCTTTCAACCATGTAGTTGGTCCAATAAAAGTACACCTCCCCACTGCACCCTCTCTCCCCACGTCCTTTTTTTCTATAATAGTTTTTCCCATGTGAAATCATGTTAAAGATGCCCTTTGATGGAAATGTCGCACCTTCTTGCCTCTGTACTCCAACACACTTATATTCTATGAGTTGCACTGGTTTACTTGAAGAAAGTTTTTGAAAAAGGTTCTCCAAGGTTATACGAATGGAACAAGGAGTCAATTTTGATGCCTCTGCACTTGTTCAGCTTGCTTGTCTTCATTCACCATCAGATTAGGCGGCCATGGAAATCCTCTAGAGTCAGGAACAAAGGACAAAGTAATTCCTGCCCTGATTTCTTGGGTTACTGAGTACAGATAGGAAAAATGTAAGACTTTAGGTGGGGGGGGGGGGGGGGGGAAATCAAGAGAAGGCAAACTAGCGAGTAAAGAAACTGAAAGAAGAGGTCAGAGTTTCAAGGTATTCCCAAGAGTTCTCTGGGAGAACTGTTTTTGTGTGCGAGAGGACAGAGCGTTTTTGTGTATGTCAGAGCGAGAGTGTCCTTGTCCATTAAGGAAAAGACAGCAACCTGCAGGGGAAATGATGAACAGATGGTGTACTCATGTGGCTGGTGAGGAGGCGGAGAATTTAATGGAACAAAAAATTTTAGGGTAGACCAGAAGGGGATGTGGGAAACAGACTGAAAGAGTGAGACACAGAATCCTTCACATATAAACAGACAGGGAGTGTGTGACACAGTGTGAAAGCAGAGGGAATGGTAGAAAACTAGAATAAATGAAAGAAAAGTAAAAAGCCAGGCAATACAACTCAAAGAAGATGAAACCTTGACATTGAAAAAAAAAAAAAGGCTGGTGGGGGAGAGGAAGAGGAGAAATAATGAACAAACATGGGGGGGGGAATAATCAGGGATAACAGAAGGGGAATTAGAAAAAATAAAAATAAACAGCAATTTCCAAAAATGTGCTAGGGAAAAATCAAAACAAACAAAACACCCCACAGCAAATCAAGGAAGAAAATGTCAGGAGGCAAACAGTATGACAGTACAACAGTGCAAGTCTCCATTCTTTGCTCAAAGCAAACTGGGGCCAAAGGTGCCCGAGGTTTTCAGAGTGCAAGACCTGTTCCACCACAATCTAGCCCAGGACTGTCCAATAGTCCATGCAACACCAAATATCAAAGCAGGGTGATAGCTAATGCGAGGCAGCAGCTTGTTTCTTGAACTACAATCTAATAACCACTTATTTAATACTGGCGGGACACAAGAAGCCCAAATGAAGACACCTTCAGGCAGTTTCAAGAGTAGTTTTCCCTTTCTCCTTTACCAGGATTTCTGATCTAATTTACAAGTCAGAGCTTGCCATTTTCCCTGAAGGTCCTGCCATGCAGAAAGCAACAGTTGCTACTACTCAAGCAAAGATTCCACTTTTGCCCTCTCCACTTACAAAAGTGACTACAATAAAGAGGAATTTC